CTCTCAGATTAAGACTCATTCCATCTGTGAAGCAGGACCGGAAAAAGAACAGAGCATGAACCTTTCTGGGCTTTAATTTCAGGTTGCTGGTATGAAGATCACATGGGAGTAACTGAAACCACATGAGAGCCAGAAAAGAAAAACAAACATACCTACTTCATGCTGGAGGCCAAGGACACAGAAGCCATTACAGAAAGGGAAGTATGCTTTTTTATCAAAAAAGGCTGGGGAACCCATGTTGACATAAAATAATAAGGGGGAAAAATCATCAATAACTTATGAAACATCTGTCTTCTTTTATTCGCTTCCCCTACAGAAAGGTTAGAGGTCAGAAAAGCTAATTATTGACTTAGTCAATTAATCTGACTAAAGCCAAGGATTTGTGCTATGATCTACTGCACTGGACAGCAGATGTCATAAATCAGAGCAACATTTTGATTTTAAAACCATTCTGCTCAAATCATGGGAAGGAATGACAGAATTTCAGTCTGACAACATTTAGGATTTTCCTATTATCTGGAAAGTTTTCATTTCTATTGCTTTTGAGATTTACATTTTATTACTACACCAACAATACTAATCAAACACATTTGCCTTATTTTCTGCATATGGTTACAGTTGCTTAGACAGTCTGCTCTAGCAGGTCTCCTGCAATCAGCTCTTTTATCTGCAGTTTAAAACCACAGCAGCACCTCATTGGTTTCCATGCTCTGACTGTCGGTAGTTTTCCCAACAGGATGCAAAGTGCTGAATTAGGCCTTTTCTGAAGCTACCTTACAGGCACAACAAATAAAAAATAAAATAAGGGAGAGGTAACTCTGCGTTAAAAGCCACTCGAGCATTTTATTCAAAGAACATCAATGCCTGTCCGTACTTTTATATTTACTTGCTTAGTTTATATTTTATGAAACAGAAAAGTAACCCAGAAGGACTTAGCTCCTGTTGTTCCAGGTTAAAGATTGCAACTTCTGATTTTTGACCAATTGAAAAACACTTATTAGACCAAAAAAAATAAAAAATAAATAAAAAATATGAGCAAAAAGTCCAAATCCAAGAATAAGTAAAGAAATCTAATTTACAGTTCTGTCTATAAAGATCTATTAACCAGAGGGAGAGCAAGATGATAAATATTATCACAAACTGGGAACATCCAGGCACCACTAGCCGACCCACAACTAATCTGCACTAAAGAGAGAAAGAGAAGGAAAACAGAAGCTGCTGCGTAACTTTGAGTCTGCTTTCTGTCAGGCCTGCAGACTTAGATATGGCAGGAAAGCAAAATAAAGAAGTTCAGCAGCAGCAGAGCTCAATTCCCCTCCAACCGCCCCCCCACCCCGCCGCTCCCACCTCCTATCACCTCTCACTGGGAGGTAATGTGAATGTGAAGGTAAGAGGAACCATTCAGCGTGGACATGCCATCCAGACAGAGAGTGTGTGTGTGTGTGTGTGTGTGTGTCGGGGCAGCTCGTGCTGATTGAATCCTGTATCCCTGGGGAGCCTAACTACCTCTCTATCTCTCTGACCGACACTCTGCCAGAGAGATTGGTAAAGAATTTGAAAAAAAAAGGTGTAAAAAGAAGGGAAATAAATGCAGCAGAGCAGCAGCAGAGCTGGTAGCCTCACAGCTCCCTCTATCGGACCCTGGATGCGGTTCAACGCTCGCTGTCTTCCACTGCCTCACATGGCTTTCTTGCTGCTCCCTTTTTCTTTAAATATCAAGTGCTAACTTATAATAGCCAACAAATTTTGCTCTCATTAATAATAATTAAAAATAATCAGCCAGTGACATCATTAATGAGATAACTATTTTAGAATATTAAGTTGAAATCTCTATTGTGAAAAAACAGGAATGTAGTTATTTTCTTTTCTCCTTAAGTCATTTAGTCTCAGTAATTTTAAGAGATTTTAATTTAGCTCAGAGCCCTTTAAATATTAGAGCTTGTTTTGTTTTTTTTTTTGCTTTTTTTAAAAAAAAGCTAAATAATAGATTATTAGAAATATCAGTCAGAAGGAAAGTCAATAAAATAAAAAAAGTGGAGACAATCTGTGAACCTAGAATATTCTCTAATCTCAAACGCATTTTTTGCAGCATCCTAAACTGACATCTCAGCTTCTTCCACTGCTATTTTCCTCAAACAACTTTTATGAAATTGAGCAAATCTGATGACGTTTTTTGCATGTTACATGTTGTGCAATGTTCACCTATCAGCCAAGGTTCAGCTGAAACCCAGCATGCAGACGAGGGACTGTGGTCGTTTGTCCTGCATTCAGAGGATCACTTTTACAGACATAAAAAAAGAGAAATGCTAGATTTGTTCAATTAGGCATCTAAGTGAAGACTGAGACCTTCTCCATATATATATTTTTTTTAGCTCAGACAGAAACTCGGATAGAGAACTTTTGCTGATAGAAGTCATGCTGCCCTCGTCTTCTTCTAACATCCTGATGGGAGTCACGCTCTTTTCTTCAACTCAATTCCACTCCTCTGATCATGGAACTTGTTGTTTCTCCTCAGTGCACCACATCCTCTAACATTGATCACATGTCCTGTTGATCTAATACCTCCAGATTCTTACCAAATTATTTCAAAGGGCCACTCATTTTTGAGTAAAACTATAAAAAGAAAAAAGCTTTTTTCTGAAGTAAATCGTTGTAAATTGGACCTTTTAACGGCAGGTCTACCATTCTGAATGACTTTATCTCGCTAAAATAGTGTTTTTCTCTCACTTTTTTGTTTGACTTGATATTCCTTTATCAGTTTTCCACATTCCTATCGGTAATAAACTATCTACGCTCAATCAAGCTGAACCAAATTGCAGATTTCTGCTATCGTACACACACTGACCTTTGAACCTATCAATAGGTATCCCTAATTGAGAGTAGTGCGTCACTGTTTGACAGCTCTGTAAACTAATCGGCAGGGTGCGAGAAGTTTTATAAAATATCGATGCAAATTTGAAAGCTTTGAAAAATGATGCACCATTAAATCAGATCGTATTTGATATCAATCGGCGAACGGACCCAAAACCATAAAACGTGCTTTTATCTGTGAAGATTCTCAGTCTTCCAGTTCATAGTTAAGCTTGAAAGGTTAAGTTTAGGCAACTGGAGGTGAAATATAATGTGCTGCTTGTCGTAAGAAATCCTCCATCTTTGATTTGATATCTTCAGCTGATGGTCAAAATCTAATTTTGCAGGAGTGAAAAAATGCCATAGAAAGGACGGCCACAAGAAAACACCAACTGATGTTAAGAAGTTGTTGACCAGAACACACTTTTCAATATGAAGCAATGACAAGACCTTCAGCTGTTCAGTTAAATTTAAAAGTTCATCTGCTTTTAAATTCTTAGTTTTCCATTTAGCTTTTTTTTAATCTACTCTGACTTCATCATCCTTGAGCTCTAAGGAAATGAACTGTCAGCTTAATCTTAAATAATGATTAAAAGTATATCTTTAGTGGAAGACTGTTTAGAGGGTATATTTTAGACGGATTTTGTTTTACAAGGTTTCTAAATATCACTTCAGATGTCAGCCAAAAGGCCTGTTTTTATTTGAAGATGCTGTAAGAAATAAAAAGGCTTGCTGGTTCAAAGAACCTTCTCCCTAGAATAAAATACAGCTGCAGCAAATGATTTTCTCAATGGCTCCCAACAGACCAGAGAACAGGAAGAGAGTTTGCTGAGGGGAGAAATGAAGCAGGGAGAACAAAAGGACTGGAAAAGGGATGTGTGGTCAAAGTGGGGGTCTGAGAGGGTGGGGGGTTATTTTCAAACTGCAACTGTGTGAGAGACAGAAGGTTTCATTTTCTCGTGCTGTTAAAAGGGGGACAGAAAGTGCAGTGCAATAGCAGATATCAGAACTGCATGCAGGCAGTTCGATGGATTTCATTCTGGCAACATTGGTGCCAATGAAGGTGGGGAGCAAATGGCTTCAAGGGCAGAATGTATAAATATAAATATATTCATGTTTATTCATTTTAAAGCAGACAAGACAATTCTGGATTTATATTTATGTATAAATATATGTTTATGGTTATGTTTTTTTTTTTCCTACAGTTACTTTTTCTTTTATAAGTCAGGAATTGTGCATCAGCAGCACTGCTGCCACCTGAGATTATCAAGGTTCCCCTTCCGGTTATTCCTTTCAAAACTTTCATGAAGTGTCCTTGTTCTCAGAATATATAAATAGATATAAAACATTAAAGTTAGATCAAAGTAAGGAAGATGATAGGAGTTTTCAGTGATCGTCCTGAGGGACCTGTCCGATGATTGGCTGCCCAGCGCAGCGCGAGTAGAAACCCTCCGAGTTCAGACGCAAGACGCACCTCTTCTTTTAGTCTTTTTTTACTGCGCTGATTTACAAAAACAATGTCTGACAGTTTGGATTGAATGCTCTAACTCCACTACTCGGTATGAAGTATATTAAAGACGTTTTTTTTTTTGTTATTTCAGTTGGATGAAATGTTTTTTTTTCCAGAAACGTTTTTCCGATTAAACTCTGTTGATTTTTCTTTTTTCTTTTTGCAAACCGCAATATTCGTCATGCATTCAGTGTGTTTCAGTAGGTTTGTTTGTTTGTAATACGTGTTGAATGAAACCTGTGCGCAGCCGTTGCGCGGAGCGGATAAAGACGCGCAGAGGGAGTTCAAATGCCGCTCCAGCTGCGGCTCCATTCGCAGGACATTTCAGTCTAAAGTAACATCTGGCATCAGCAGCTCTATCAACTTCCCCAATAGATGAGCAAAATAACCGCCTTTATTTTTGATTCAATGTTGAGGCATTTAACGCATCCTTTACGCAGAGGATGTGTTGATCCAGAGTGGAACCAGAATCTCCTTAGTATCCTGGGAACCGATTTTTTTTTTCTTCTTTCTGATGGTTTTGCGCTGAGAGGCTTCATAGATGCGGCTGAACATAATTACTCCCAAATGAGAGGATAGGAAAGCTGATGGCAGACAGAAACACGCCATCTCCTAAAAAAAAACACTCTACTCATCTTACCTTGAAAGTGGAAAATATCCTTGGGTTTGTTTTTATTTCTTCTTTAACCAGATGTTCAACACATCCACTGACTGTATGTCCGGAGTTAATTGTTCAGATTTTTTTTGCGCTCATGGAGGTAAAGGGAAAAAAAATAATAATAAGAAGAACGCAGGAGCAAAGAAAAAAAAAGAGAGATTCTACAAAAAAAATATAAAAATGCGTTTGGATGAGTCTCGAAAGTGAAGTGAGGGAGAGGAACAATGGAGGCGGTGAAGAGGAGAAGAGGGAGTCCAGGTGGGAGTCAGAGAAAATAGGGGAGATCAGCGGAGCATTCCGGCCTCCTTCGGGTAATAAAATCCAGAATCGACAGTCTCTCAGTCCGTCCTCCTTCTAGGAGAGACAGCAGCGATCTGAGGGGGAGAGAGAGAGAGAGAGGCGGCATCGATAGAGAGAGAGAGGGAGGGATGGATGGGGGAGAGGGGGGAGTGTGAGCGGCGCTGCCGGTGGAGGGCGATGGAAACTCAACCTTCACGCTGCGCTGGATTATGTATCTGACATGAAATACCTCCCATCCAATAAAGTCTCAGCATGTCAGATTTTGCTGTTTAATGTTAAAGCAAGTAAAAAAAAAAAAGTAATTCTCTTTTTTTTTTTTTTTTTTGAATGATGGATAAATCAGTTCCAGAGCAGAAAGATCGCCCTCAGCAGGAGGCTCATTTCATGCAACAGTTGCCTTTTCCTTACAGGCTGAAAGCAACTCTCCAACTGGAGTTACTGTTACTCTCACATGCAGCCAATCAGAGGAGGCGAGCAGGGGCAGACTGAGCAGCTATTGGCTGGATGGACAAGAATATTTGAATCCTCCATCAGCCAATGGAATCAGAAGAAGAGAAAGAGCAAAACATAGAACTCTTTCTTCTGAGGATTAGGGAGCTTCACCCTTATTAACCTTTGGATGCATAAATCATCTCCTGTATGTTTTCCCGAAGTGTAACTCTATATAACAGCCCCCTCCTCCCCCTTGATGCTTGGGGTAGAGGGGGACTGCAATGCAGGCCTCTATAAAGTGACCATACATACTTATTTACATACAATTCGAGGTTTATATGCACAACACCCTTACTCTTAATGCATCGACTTAAAATAATAATAATCAAAATATAATTATTAACACAGAGCCTTTTTTTGAAGGTCTTTCATTCATAAATAATTCCAGGTTGCACATTAACCCTGGATTCTATATTGGATTTGGTCATCAGTGTCAGTGAGAGTCCATCTAACTTTCCACTCGTTGTTTCTTTCTTTGCACAGGTAAACAGCACATTTCTTCTTCTACGCTTGCATTATCGGCAGAGCAGACGCTGAATGCGCACTTTCATCTGGTTTGGTCTGCCGGCTTCCGTAGCGTTGTGAACTTGCATGCGCGCGCTTTCAGGAAATCCTATACACTACTGTTTATGTTCGTTTCGAGTAAATTCTGGATGCTACCCACTCAGGACACTTGGAATACATTGGACGAGCAGTATGGAGGAATATTGACACGTTTTTGTGGACTTTTATGGACCTTTCTGCCTCGGACACCATAGACCTCCATTATTTGAATGTCAGCAGACAGCAAGAAGCCTCCCAGATCTCCAGATGCATTTGAGATATCAAAAAAGTACTCCAGAGTGTTGTTCAGCATGGGGGTGAGTAGAAAATGAAGGCTAATCATGTTTTGGGTGTACTATTCCTTTAAAGTTTTATAGCATACCAACTACTGTATCCAAAGGTTAATTTAAGGTTGCCGTGGTGTATGTGGTGCTGAGGATTCAATAGATTAAGCAGTTCTGCAATCCTGGATCACGTATTTTTCAAGCCTTCTCTTTAAAAATGACTTATTGTGTTTTCGAAATGATGAACATTCCATTTTTCTTATGCTACGTTCACACCGGACGCAGCAAGAGCAGCAAAATTGCGTCTGCTGCTTCATTTTTGCTGCTTGTACCAGTTAGTTCTGACGCGCGGCTGAAGCAGCTTTGCTGCTCTGGCTGCGCGGTGCAAAAGTGTGTCTGACTCGCGTTGGGCGGAGCTACTCTATCCTTTCTCTGCCTTGCAGCTATATTTGCTGTGATCAGTGGGAATAAAGTAGTTTTAATATGTTTTTAAGTGAGAAAATACACCTGAAAACTTAATCATTGCAGTCAGTTCATCCAGATTACAATCCCACCTTCCAGTGTTATTTCTGTCGGAGCCGCTTAGACCCCCCCATACCAGCGGTGCGCTGTCAGTAGGAATCCCATTCAACAGCAGCCTCTGGCCGGGTCGCCTCCTCGCGGTGCGGCGGCTGGTAGGTGTTTTTCATCTAAATAATCCAAACTGCAGGCAGCAGGATAATAAAAGCGAACACATTCTGTCGGCAGGTTTCAGCATTTTAAGTTAATTTAGGCGTTAATAAACTGTTTCAGGGGAGTGATCACAGCGCTCTGTATCATCAGCGATGTGTACCTGTCTCTTTGCCAGCTCCCAGATCAGCTTCTCTGATTGGTTGATGCGGCACGTCGAGCAGCAAAAGTTAAATTTTTCCATGTCGAGCAGCAGCTCGTAACGCGCGTTCAGGAGCGTTTAAGCATCTGACGCACGTTACGCGCTGCTGCTCAAAACGCGCTGCGGGACCTTTGGCTGCGCCTTGATGCGCGTCAACCATTGACTTTGCATGTAAACTCGCTGCTGCGTCCGGTGGGAAAGCAGCATTAGGCCAAACGGGATGTCCCACTGCACCGAAATATATTTGTCTGTGTTTAGGAATCCTAAAGAAATCTTTTGTTGTACATTGGATATAATAATCACATGAAGATTTTCAGCAATTTTGTGACTAATAACAAAGTGATGCGTTAGTAGTTACATACAAAAGTATGTGTTTCTGTAGTAGGCAGACATTGATAATGGTAAATCTTTGAAATTTAAGTAAAATTATTCTTGGTTCTTTCCTTTTTTTCACAAAAAATGTGGCAGCCCCAATTCCTTTAAATGTAATCCATTACAACAGTTTCCATATGCCACCTTTTCTACACAAAAAATCTGTAAAAATGTCCATAGCTGTATATTGGTTACTTTATTCTTCAGGTGCACATTTTTATATTGTTAAAACACTTTACAGTACAATATTGTGTTGTTTATCTTTTAATTCTTCACTAGTATTTTATCCTTATATATTTTTATAAGGTCTACATTTGAGTGAGATTTTTTTCTATATTCTTTTTCCTGCTGTAAACACAACATATTCTCATTATTAGTTCGTATGAAATCGTACGAAAAGTTATGCACAGTATTTCGTACGTTTTGGACGTTTTTCCTCGGAAAAACACATCAGTGCGCAGGCAGACAGACGGAAAAAAGCAGATCCGCGGACGGACGTAAAACTGGGAAAAACAGTGCAATAATTACTTCTTCATCTTCTAACTGCATTGCTTGCTGTTTTATATCTTAGGGTTAGGCGTTAGACACTCTCTCGATGACCCCCCCACCCAGTCCGACGACTAGAGCAGTTGGTTAGGGGATCAAAGGCATTGCACGGGCCGGCGCACGTTCGTTGGTATCTCTCAGATCCATAGCCAAGCCAGTTTGTAGAACTTGGAGAACTACGATTAGCTTTTAGAGTAATGGCTAGGTTTTAGGGTTAGGGCAAGGCTTAAAATTAGGTTCAGGGAAAGTGTCAAGGTTAGGGATCGGCTAGGTGAAATTTCAAGGCATGAGTCAGGTTTTAGGTTTAGGCATGGATTCCACTAATATTAGGGTCAGTAGCCAATTGATCTGGTAAGTGGATAGTAAGGGCTAAAATTAGGTTTAGGGCAAGTGTCAAGGTAAACGTAGAAGAAGAAATGTGCTGTTTACCTGTGCAAAGAAAGAAACAACGAAAGAAAAATGTCTGAGGACTTCAGTGTTGAGGAAGAGCATGAGTTCTTTGCCGAGCTGAATGCGCACTTTCATCTGGTTTGGTCTGCCACGGTTTCCGTAGACTCGTGAACGCGCTTTTAGGAAATCCTATACACTACTGTTTATGCTCTAAAAACATTCTAAATGACTTTGTTTCGAGTAAATTCTGGATGCTACCCACTCAGGACACTTGGAATACATTGGACGAGCAGTATGGAGGAATATTGACACGTTTTTTGTGGACTTTTATGGAGCTTTCTGCCTCGGGCGCCATTGACCTCCATTATTTGAATGTCAGCAGACAGCAAGAAGCCTCCCAGATCTCCAGATGCATTTGAGATATCAAAAAAGTACTCCAGAGTGTTGTTCAGCATGGGGGTGAGTAGAAAATGAAGGCTAATCATGTTTTGGGTGTACTATTCCTTTAAGCAGTATTATAACAAAAAGAAAAAAGAAAACAATAACAAAATACAACATACCTTATATTGTGCAACGGGACACATTCAGCTCTCCAGCTCTCTAACATGAAATGGTTTAAAAGATCAACACAATTCCAGGCAAGACTTGACCCATAGCAATACATGGTGAGATATTGTTTTATGTCACGTTGTGCCAATTTCAAATGTTTCCCAATTTAATATGATTTCTTGGAACAATTCCCTGTCATTTTACTCTCAACTAAAGGACACTAGAGAAAATAGGAGCAGATTCATCTCATGTTAAGCTCTTCATTTTCTCTTCAAAATAAGAAAGCCATAATTTAAATCAGGGGCATACTCAATTGCTCAAAGTTTTCTCTACTTCCTTATATTTTGCTGATTGGTCTTTTCTCTTTGTGGGTTATCCCTTGCTCCACAGGGACTATTTGGGGAAGCATCACATACAACTGAAAGAATGATATGCTGAGAAGCTTAAACTGACCACAAAAGATGAGAGTGAACAACAGGTGAGCAATACATTTGTTCTAGGGAATGTCTAACCTGGAAAAGACAGATTGATAATGCAGAGTGCTTCTGGTTTAGTTCTTCACATTGTCAATCTTGGCCTGCTTCCATCAGATAGTCAGAAAAAAGAAGGGTAATTCAGTAGAACCATCTGAGCTCACTGAGCAAATTAACAACCAGTGTTCATCTGCAAAGGTTTGTTTTTGCAAACAGGAGGTAAGGTAAAAAGACACACATATCTTTGCCAGTAAAAAATGCACAAAGTGCTTCTTGCTATTTTTTAGGAAAAAATGAACGCATGGATTGTGATAAAATAGATGGTATAACAGCAGCTATGCTTGCATCCTGTGCGGCCAAGTTTATTTTGCTTTGGCCATGAGCCCATAATACTGCAGCAATCAACCTCTTTTGGAGTGAGTGGGGCGTGATTGTTTGGCTCATGTGTGTTTATGAACACACAAATACTGCAAGAATTAAACCTGCAGGAAATCTTAGCCGAATGAAGTCTGTAATACTTGGTCCTCACTTGCTCTGCTCAGTATTTGGTAATTATGAGTTTAATGGTTC